ATCTACTTTACCATGCTTTTTAATCATTTTTCTTTGTCTTCTTCTTTGTCTTTTTTCTTTACGTTTTTGTAATGCTTTAAGTTTACTATCATCCTCACCAAATTGGTTTTCATTTTTATCATCAACAATGGTATGATTAGTTAATGCAGAAGATCCCAATGCTTTATTGAAATAAGATTCAGCTTTAGTAATTTCTCCTTTTCTTAACATAATCAAAGCAGCATTTCCATAAGTCTCACTAATATAATCAGATGTTTTAGTACCAAGAAGAGATGAGTCAATTGATTGATCAGAAACAATACAAGCAGCTAAATTAGTTAAAATTCCAGTTTTAGGTTGTTTAGTAATTTCTAATACTTCAGTATAAATTTTTGCAGCCTCATTAAATTTTCCTTGTTTTTGAAGTATTTGTGCTTTTAACACTTTATCCTTTTCATCTGAACCAAGTAATGAAAATGCTTCATCATACTTTTCAATATTATATTTAGCTAATGCCAATTCAAAATTCATTCCATTTTGTTTCATTGTTTCTTCAAACTGAGTAACATCTTTTCCTAATTTAATTGATGAAATAATTAAAATTTTAAAGACATTAACGTCGTTTTGTTTTTGTGAATACACTACCATCTCAATTATTTCTTTTCTTAATAAATTATAAATCCTATAATAAAAATTCGTTATTAGATCACTAGTTATTTATATAAAACAAACATTCATTTGATATTTTATAAATTTCATTTAAATCCTCTTTTTTGTTTTGTTGAATGAGTTTCTTTAACTCCTCCATTACTTGTTTTTTACTTCTTTTTGAGTTCTTTTTTAAAATTAAAAATGTTATGTAAAACATTAATTAAAGTTTATTATTGTTAATCTGTTATTCCAATTATTTCTTCAATTGGACAATCCATTTTTTAGTGTTGTGTTTTGTTCTGTTCAGCTGAAGCTAACTCTCCAATAACGTCAATAACCTTTTCTTTTTTCTCAGTTGATTCATTGATGGGTTCTGTTAGGTTTTGATGAGAAACATTTTTTTCTTCTTCCTCTTTTCTTTTAATGCACTCTCCAATAATATCGACTACTTTTTGTTTAATACTTTCTTTATCCTTCTTTTCTATTGTGTCATATAAATTTTCTTGAACCAAGGTACTTTCTTCAGTCTTCTCTGAGAGTGTATTAGGTGTCGTGTTTTGGGGTTGTTCAACTTCAATTGGGCTTGTAAGCTTTTCTTCTTGGGTCTCAATACCCTCTTTTCCTAAAGAGGGGTTTTGAATAATTTCAGGTATAGGTTCTGTGTTAGTTTTTTCTGCAGAATTGTTATTAACTGTATTCTGAATGTTTTCAATAGGACTTTCTGGGGGAACAATATCAAGACATTCTTGTTTATTTATAAAAGTAGTAAACTGTTTTTCTTCTTGATTAGGCTGTTCAATGTCTTGAGTAACAAGTTTATTTGTTCTATCTTCATGACTTCTTTTTAAGTGCTCTGCCATTCTAAACAGTGGTAAGTAATATTGAAGAGTTGTTAAAGCAAGCTCTAAATCTTTAGAATTATCTTCTGTAGTATCTAGTTGTGTTGTCCCAATAATAGGCTCCACGTTGTCAACTTGTTGAGGTAATTCAGAAGAAATATTTTGATTAGAATTTTCTTCTGAAATCTCTTTAGTTGTTAATGGTTGTTCTGGAAGTATTGTAGTGTCTTTTTGTTCTATAGTTTCTAGTGTTTCTATTTGTGGGATTGGTGGAGTGTTTTTGTTTGTTGTTATTTCTTGATTTTTTTTCAAAGTTTCAAGCCTTCTCTTTATCTCTTCAATTTTTATAATCAGAGTTTCATCTATTTTAGTAATCTGAGTACCAAACACTTCGTTCAATACACTTGAAGATTGTTCAACAGCTTTTCGTATATGGGCAGCATTTAAATCAAGCTGTTGGCGTTCACTTTCAATTTTTTCTCTCCATCTGTTTAGTTCCTCTTCTTTCTTTTCGTTTTGTTTTTTTAAATCCTCTTTGCTTTCGAGTTCCTTTTTTAATTCTTCTCTCTCTTCTGGTGTAAACTCTTTTTCTTTAATTTTTTCTTCTTGAATAAGTTTTTTCATTTTTTCTTTTTCTTCTTGAATAATTTCATCAGGGGTTTTAAATGATGTTGTTTTGTTTTTGTCAGATTTCTTAGGCTCTTGGAGTTCTTTTCCTTCAACCTTACGTAACAAATTACTCAGTCCAGTATCAGTTTTCTTTCTATCAAGTTGGATTCCAATTTTAGTTTTCTCAATATAACCAGTTATTTTTTCTGGATCAATCTGACTTAATGACCTTTCTAATTCTAGAATGTATTGTTCTGTTTTTCTTTTAAACTCTTCTTTCTCTTTGTAAAACTTTTTTTCTTCTTCTTCAATCATTTTATCAAATTTTTTTTGCATTTCTTGATTACTTTGTTCAATTTCTTTTAACTGTTCTTTTAATGAAGTTATTGACTCTTTTGTTTTATTTCTTTTGTCAATACTTTCTTGTGAAGTAAGTTCATCATATTCTTGTTGTATTTCTGTTAGATTATTTTCTATTGGTTGTAAAGTAGACTCATTTTTATTAATAAACTCCTCATACTTTCTCTGGAGTTCTTCTTTTTTCAATTTAACTTCATCTATTTGTTTTTTAATTTTATTTCCTTCAATTTGTTCTTCTTTCAAATCAGATTGAAGCTTATTGATATTTGATTTCATTTGATTATTTTCTTCTTCTATAACTATTTGTTGATGTTCTTTGTGTTCTTTAAGCTCATTTAATTTCTTTTGTCCCTCTTTAATTTCATTGTTAATGTTATTTTCTTCTTGTTCTAATAAACTCTTTTTTTCTTGGAAAATATTATTGTTTGTATCCTCTTTTTGTTTTATACCTTTCATTTCTTCTTCAGATACTTCTTTTCTTGATTGTATTTCATCAACACTTCTCTCTATATCCTCTTTTTGTTCCATAAGTTCAAGAATTGAATACTCTTCATCACGTATCCTTTGAACAATTTCATTAACTTGTTGTTGTGAATTATTTAAATCTTTAAGAACTTCCTTAAATTTTGTTTCTAATTCATCTTCTTTCTTTAAGTCGTTTTCATACTTCTGTTTTTTCTTTGATTCTAATTGAATAGCGCTTTGAAGTCTTTCGTTAGTTTCATGGAATTTATTATAGTTTTGTAAAAGTATATTTGTCCGGCGTTCATAAATCTCTATCTGTTGTTGTTTTGGTGTTTTTTCTTTTGTTAAAGAAAATTCTTTTGCTTTTTTATATATCAAATTATTGTACTCTTCAATCTTGATAAGTTTTTCTTTAATCTCATTTACTACTCTTAGAGCCTTTGCTGTACTCATTACTAATGGCTTCTTTTCATTTAAAAGAATCTCTTTTTCAAATCCAATCTGACTCTCTTTTGATTCTGGTATTTCTTCTACCTTCTTTGATTCTATTATAATGGGAATATCTTCACTTAGATGTACTGTTTCAACCATTCTAACTTTCTTCTTTTCAAGTTCTCTTATGCCCTCGTTCTTTTTTCTCTTTTCGATATTTGTTATAAATAACAATATTAATACTTTTTGATTCTTATATTTTCTTTATTGGTTTTAGTGGATGAGTGTTGTTTCTTTGTCCCTTCTCTAAACTGGTTCCATTTGATTTCTTTGTAGTTTTGCAAATGAAAAAGTTGTCAGTGTTTATTAATTTAGTATTCGTACTTAGGTTCAGTTCTGTAAATTTTTTATTTCTTTATTTGTGGTTGTTATTTGAAACATTATGTTTTACAAATTATTAAGTGTTTCAACTCTAACTTGTTTTTCTTCTTTCTCCTTTTTTCTGTGGTAGTGTCGAAGTTTCGAATCTTCTGTTGTCAGGAAAATAACTTTAATTGCTAAAGACGCTTTAAATATTTTTTCTTTTAATTAGAACTCTAAACATCACATCTTGAAGTTGTGACATTTCTAATTGGAATTTATTCATATCTAATTCAACAAAAGTTCAATTTAATAAGAAAAGATATATTATTTGAAAGTCATAGAAATATATAGAATTAACCAAAGAGATGATCGGAAAATAAACAGTCTTTATTTCATTTAATTTATTTAAAAATTTGAGAATCTAACATTTAATTCAATAAAATGGGCTCACAACCTAATAGAATAAAAATAAGATTAAAGTCGAATAATTTTTAAACACTCAGACTGTTTTTTTTTTGTGAATGTAAGACAATCCTTCAAATAGCCATAGTATAAAACTCTCCACAAATAGAGTGATTCATTCAACTATAACAAAATTTTCTCGATATAATATTAAAGAATATAAATTTATAGAAAACTCAATTCAGGTAAGAAAAAAAAAATAATAATCAAAATTCTTTATTTATCTTAATTGCGAGATACAATAAAATATAACAATAAAATTAAAATTTTAGTAAAAAGTGTCTATCTAAAAATAGTTTTTTAGTTTAATTTATAAAAATAGATTATTTCAGGGTTAGGATGTAAAAAGAAGAAAGAAGAAATTTTTTTGAAAAAAAGGAGAAGAAAGATAAACACGTAAACATTCAAGAATGACAAGATTGGTTCTAAATATCAAGATCATATGAAGAGTCAAGGGTATTTGAGGATCTAAAATCTATCAAATTCTTTGAAGAATGCACCCGTTAGTAAAGACTTTTGTTGTTTCAATTGGTATGATGACAGATGCTTATGAAATTTTCCTCATGAATATCTGTTATGTTATCATCAAAGAAATTTATGGAGAAACATCCTACTCATCAACACTATCATCAGCTGTTTTAATAGGAATGGCAATTGGTCAATTATTATTTGGTGTTCTTGCTGATACTATTGGAAAAAAATTAATGTTTATTACAACTTTAACGATTCTCATCATCTTTTCTATTTTACAAGCATTTTCATTCGAAATTATATCAGGAGCTGGACCTTATATTATTTTAGCTATCATTAGATTTATATTAGGTTTAGGTATTGGAGGAGAATATCCACTCTCATCATCTATTGCATCAGAAGATGCTAAACCACACAACAGAGGAAGAAAGTTAGTTTTTATTTTTTCTATGCAAGGTATTGGTAATATTCTTGCTCCACTTGTTGTATTAATACTTTTATATACTCCTTTAAAACTTGATTATGTATGGAGAACAGCATTAGCTTTAGGTGCAGTTCCATGTATTTTAACATTATATCATCGTATTACAATGGATATGCCAAAGAAAAAGAAAGGTCATGTCACTAGTAAATCTGAAGTTCGTGCTTTAATCAAAAAAAATTGGTTTTATTTATTTGGAACTGCTGGTTGTTGGTTCTTCTTTGATATTGCCTTTTATGGTAATTCAATGTTCAACTCAACAGTTTTACAGGTTATTGGATTTGGACCATCTGCAGATGATGAAGACCCACGAGATGGACTTATTTCAACAACTATTGGAAATTTGATTTTAGTACTTATGGCGTTCCCAGGTTTTATTGTTAGCTTCCTTCTAGTTGATCGTATTGGAAGAAAGCCATTACAACTATTTGGATTTGCTGGTACTGCTATTTGTTTCTTCTTAATGGCATTTTTTGAAAATATTATTCTTGAACATGTCCCTTATTTATTTGTTATAATATATGGACTTTCATTCTTTTTCCAGAATATGGGACCTAATACAACAACTTATATTAATGCAGCTGAGACATATGATCCACGAATTCGTGGAACGTTTAATGGACTTTCTGCTGCTTCAGGTAAAATTGGAGCAATGATTGGTACTGCTGTTTTTAGTCCATTTACTACTGCATTTGGTCAAACTGCTACATTTTGTACGTGTGGTGCATTAATGATGGTCGGATTTGGGTTATCTTTTATTGTACCTGAAGGTAAAGGAGCTGACATTGAACAAATTGCTGATAGTTATCAACAGTTCGATGAAGAAAGCAATCAAAAATGATTTTGTTATAATTTAGAATTTTGCAATTTAAATTATTTTTTTATCTTCTTAGTACAATATCTTCTTATAAATAATTTAATTTTTTCATCTTAATTTATTTTTAGAAAGCAGTGATATCATATTTTTTAAAGAAATAATGAGTCAGATTAATCTTAAAACTATTTTTTAAATTTAATTTCTTTTTTTTTTAAAAACTTACAAACAAAAATTTTACTTCTGAATAATGAACTAATTGTCTAATTTTTAAATAATTACAATATTAATTAAAAACAATTTTTTTCATTTAAAAAATTAGTTCATTAAAGATATTAACCAATTAAATTAAATCTAATGTTTTAATTGGTTGGTTAGAGAGTTGAGGAAGTTGTTGTTCTATTATACTGGTAATTTCTAATGCAACTTCTTCTTTTGATTGACGAGCGTCTATACACTATTTTATTAATAATAAAGAATAGACAAATAAAATATGACAAACAGTCCATTTCATAGAATCTTTAAATTTTTCATACTCACATTTAACTTTGCTTTGAAATTTAATGTTTTCATAACGATCTGTTTTCATTGTTTTTCTTCTTTGTTCTGCGTCTTCAAGAGATAATTCAAGGAAGAAAACAATATCAGGTTTTGGTAATCCAGAATCTGCAGAATTACACCACCTTTCATCTAATCCATTAGCGATGCTATAAACAATTCCACTAAAAGCGTATCTATCACAAATAATAGTAATTCCTTTCTCTAAAGTTTCTTTAATTTTTTGGGCAACTTCCCATCTATTAGCAGAATAGAGTAAATGAACAACTTGTTGTGGTAAATTCTTTCCATGAAGAAATTCATCAATTAATTTTCCAATATCAGTTGATCTATCAGGAAATGGTTGTTTAATACTTTGAATACCTTTTTTTTCCAACATCTCACAAACCCTTTGTGCAGCTGATGATTTTCCTGATTGATCAATTCCTTCCAATACAATAAGTAATCCACGATTAGTATTCATTGTTAAAATAAATTTTTAGTTTTATAATTATTTCTGTTATTTTTTTTCTCATAATAAAAATATTATTTAAATATCTTTATCTTTTTTATAAATAATAAAATTAAATTTCAAAAAACCATTAAATCAATTACAATTTATATTGGAATCACAAAAGGCTTCTAATTTGGTTAGATTAGTATCAGACATTGTTTCTAAATTTAATTCAAAACTTTCTCCAATTTCTTTTGCACCAAGTATATTAGGAATTTCTTTTTGTTGGTCTGGAGTTAATTTTTCTATTTTTTCCATTACTCTAATTTTATCATTTAGACTATATGTTTTAATCTCAAGTTTTTCTTTTTTGATTTTTTTAGTTTTAGTTTTTGGTTGTTGTTTTACAGTTAAAGGAATATCTTCATCATCTTCTAAAACAAGAGGTAATTCTTCTACTTTTCGTTTTAATTTTCTTTTTTCATTATTTTCTTGTTTTTCTTTCTCAATAATTCTTTCTTTTTGTAATTCTTTAATCATTGCTTTTTCATCTTTAGAACGTAATGGAATTTTATCCCAATATCCTTCACAAAGAACCCTTAAATCATCTGCATAAATATAATATAATGTACCAACTCTATTATACGTCATTCCATTTTTCCAAATTTGTCTTAAATCATGCATAAAATCATTTGCAGTTTTATATTTATTATCACTTAATTTTGTTTTGATATTTTCAATACACATTGGCTTTTTAATAATTTTATAATATCCAATTGCCCCATCTCTTTCTTCATCAACAGGAAACATAAATGCAGCAATCTTTTGATTATTAGAAATCCAAGTAATAAATTCTTGACATAACTTTTTATTAAAATCAGTCATTGGATATTCTTTTTTATCGTGATCAGAAGATAATTTAATTTCTTCATTATATTGTAATGGAATTGGAGAAGTAATTTCAAGTAAAGTTTCTTTTAAAGGTAGTGCTTCAATTAAAGAAGCGAGTTCTTCATTAGTAAGTTGTTTTAGGGCAGTTTTATTTTGATCGAACTTTTCGAAAGTTTTCATAATAATATATCTGCTAAGATTGACATTTTTATTTCTAAGTTCTAAATTTGAAATTGCTTTAAGAAGTTCTTTTGGATAAGGACCTTTTTGTTCAATAATATAAGTTGCAATATAACTTTTAATTTCTTCGTTATTCAATAATTCAACTACTTCTTTTGCAATAGAGTCAATTGGTTGAGACTCAAGTAAAGGGGATCTTTGTAAATACATCCATTCGATAAAAATTTCCATTGCACCATCACTAAGATTATTTGGTAAATGAAATTGAGAAACAACACATTTATGAACATCAAAAGTTTTTCCATTTTTTGATTTAATTTTCATATCAGTATTAACAGCTTTAAATAATTTTTCATTTGCAGGAGAGACTGTAGGATTATAAATGATTTTAATATTCGATTTAATATTTTTTTTATTAATTTTGAATTGAATAGAAGAGAATGGAGTTTTTATCGATTTATTAGTATCTGTTATTTTCGCTCCATACCTAATTAATTCAGCTGCTCCAATAACATTTCCTGATAAAACTGCTTCATGAAGTGCGGTATTTCCATTTGGATTTATTGTTTTTAAATTTGTACCTTTTTTTAATAAATAAATTAAAAAATCATTTCTATGAAAACGAGCAGCATACATTAATGGTGTTTCTCCATTAATGTCAATACAGTTTTTTTGATCAATCAATTTTTCAACAAAATCAAATTTATCAAAATAAACTGCGATATGAAGGCAACTTAATTTAAGTGATGTCTCATTTGATTCTATTTGTTATATTTTTTGTTATTAACTTTTTTGTTATTTTTATAATTAAAACAAACTACATCCATGTTCACAAAGTATTTCAAATAACTCTTTATTATTTTGTATTATCGTATAATGAATTGGACAATACCCATACTTATCTATTTTATTGATTTTTTCTCCATTGGATATCGCTTTACAAACTTTCTCTTTCTCTCCATTATAACATAACCAATGTATTGATTCTTCTCTCTCCCCCATTTTTCAATCTACTTCTAAGTTCTTTTAGTTTTTTATTTTCCTTTTTTTTTTTGTTCAAAAGGATTGATTAAAATACTTTTTTTTTTAATTAAAAATTGAATTAAAAAAAAATTTATAAAATTAAAAATTAAAAAAAAAAAATTTGAATTTTTTTTTAATTTTGAAAATTCTAAAAATATAAAAGAAAAACTTAATTTAATGAGTTTAGATTGTAAAGTGAGTAATGAATTTATTAAAATCTTATTTTGAAAAGAAAGCTAATGAAATTGAACTTAGAATGACTTTAGAAGATAGAATAAATGAAATCATTGAATTAGATAAAAAACACCAAAACCTTGAAACAGGTATTTCTAAAAGATCAACTCGATTAATGGCCATAAACATCATTTTGTTATGTACTTATTTTTTTCAATTAGGAGTCATTGGATTTTTAGATTATTCATTTTTAAATTATATTTCGATTTATATCCATTTAATGATTTATATATTAGAATTTTTGTTATTATTTATATTGTTATTTGTATGTGCAAAGTCAAATCGAATATTTAAAATGGAATGTTTGTTAGTGTATAATAATTATTATTTAAATAATGTTTCAATATGATTTATTTTGTATAAAATAATTTAGGATTTTAGTTAAGTCAAAAATTAATAATGAAATTTTATTACAACATAAAGTAGATGAATTGTCCGAAGATACTCATTATGAGTCATTAACTAAAATAATTAAAAAGTATTCAGTTAAAGAAAAGAAAAGAAAATTAGAAATTGAACAAAAAATCAAAGAAAAGTTAATAAGAGAAAGAAATAGAATTAATGAACAATTAAAAGATGAATATTCAAAAGAGTATAATAAAAAATTACAAGAAATGAGAAAAAAAGTTGAAGATGAAATTCGACCAAAAATTGAAAAAGAATTTAGAGAACAATTAATTATTGAACAAGAAAGATTAAAACAAAAAACAATGATTTTAGGAAGAAGAGTTATTCTTTCTCCTTCAATATTAGAAAAAGAAGGAGAGACAACGAATGAATACAAAACACCAACAAAAGAAAGTAATAATATAAAAAACAGAACAGAAAAAAGTCATTCTGTAGATTTTGCAATTGTTAAACCAAAAATAGAACGACTAACAGAAATAAAAAAAAGAAATCAATTAATTAAATCATTACAATTTGAAAAAGAATGTAATAATGAAAATGATGAAAGTTTTTCTCAAAATAGTCTTGAATTAAATGAAGTTAAAATGGAAAATGATGGATTAAATAATTTACAAGAAAAAGATAAGAAAGACTCTGGTATTTTTATTCAAAAAGGAAATATTGAAAAGGAAATTATTCGTTCTTCTTCTACACCTTTAACACCAAAAGAAATTAAACCACAAAATGATAAAATCATTAATAATGAAAATGAAAAAAATGATATTCAAAGTCAAACATTTATAATGCCTAAAACTAAAATTACAAATGTTAAGTGTCAAAGAATTGGAGATGTTGCATTTATTAAAACTAAAACTGGATTCATTATTGTAAAATCAAAACCTCAACAATTTCATGTCCCGACAATAAGAAGAAGTTCTCATCCAGATGATATTGTTATTGCAATAAGAAAAGAACAACAAACTTCTTTAATTACTTCTTTTCTGTGCAAAATTTCTGGAATTAAATTAATAGATTTCTATTGTGGTGAATGTAATAAATTACTTACTCAAATAGATAATTCTATTAAAAAGACAATATTTAGACAATGTAGTCATGTAGAGCGTT